TAACATGTCTTTGCCAGGTCCAGGTAACTTATGGCAAGGTGGGGAAGGTACATGACCTGGAGTTCTTTGGAGCCCAGGGATTCTGCATTAGCACTTATGCAACCTCCATATATATATATTTAAGTTTTCCGGCAAGACCTAAGCTGACATATCTTTAGATCAAGGTTAACTGCAGAGTTCAGCTAGAGCTTGAGACTAAGGAATCCCCAATCTTGCTATACAACCCAGCTTCACTGGACACACGTCTGGAGATCAGGCCCGGTGGCAGTTTTCCACTTTAAGGTATGCACCATCATTAAAGGCTGATAAATCCACTCCTCAAAAAGTGATCTTGGGAGGTTAGGGGGAGCTGAGGGTGAAATTTGGGTTTTCTTCATTGACTTAACTTGAGGAAAGATGTATATGTGTGTGTATAATTTCCCACTTTTTTTTTTTTTTTTTTACCAAATAGAGAAAATCCTGCAGATGAGAGAAAGGACTCCCTTCTTTCTCCCTCATTTCTGACTCTTAATAGTCCAGCTCAAGTTGCATCGAACTTTTTCACAGGTAAAGTCTCTTGTAGTGAAATAATTTTGTAAGGAAATACAGTCACATTTTAACTTGAAAACTGGCAGAAAAATGACCATGTAGTTTTTGGGATTTAAGCAAGCATATGCTAATTGATGCAAATGTACCTTTGCTCCTGCTATGTCAGGTGTCTTTGGACAAGCCTGATAAGAGTCACCTGCACTGAACTTGTGACAATCCGGGCTCTTCTACAGCTAGATTGGGCAAACTCAGCTGCTAACCTTGATTACCTGGGTAAATGGTCCCTGGAACAGTAGAAACTGCCTGTGTGCACGCTCACTGATGGAAGACACCCCATTTTCCAGCTGCATAACATAAAATAAAACTTTGACAAATGGTGGGTAGGAACAGAAGTAACCACATACACACACACACACACACACACACACACACACTCCTTCCTCATGATGCCAGAGGGACTCCCAAGGCCCAGGAAGCCAAGCTGAGACCTCCAGGTAGCCGGTGCTGAGCTCTCACCGTAAAGCAGGGGCTCCTTTAACTCTCAGCAATCTTGCCAGCCAGTAGGGCTGGTCAGCCCATCTCATAAGAGAAAGAAACGAAGCCAGGCAAGGTGGACTGCCTTGCAAAGGGTCACTCAGCTACTTAAAACAGACCCGACTTGAGACCAGAACTGCTTGTGCCCTCAGCCTGACTCCACTCTATGACACCCACAACTCTGCCGTGGAGTGGAAGCGGAGGGAGGGCACTGTGCTCATTTCCTGTTGGCCCAGGGCCAGCTTTCTTATTCTCCTTGGCTCTATGCACCAGCCTGGGCCATACCGATGGCAAAGCTGAGACAAAGGTGGGTTCACAGTGTTGAAATATGTGACATGTGTGACCTTCTGGAACACACTGGTGTTGAGTGTGTTCTGCCGCCCAACCTCAAGACCCACTGTGAGGCCTTGCTACCTCACTGTCTGCCCTCCACCTCCATGTCTCTCCACGTCGCACACACTGCACCTTCTTCCTTGATCCGTGTCTCTCTAGTCAGAATTTGTCCGGAAGTATGAAAAAGTGAGCAGTTAAATGACATATAAGGAGTCCAAACTTGGGATAGAAAACCTAACTAGGCATTTACTTCACTGAGTTCTACCCTTAATCACCAGGCACGTGATGGCAGGTTTTTTCTTGCCCCTAAAGACTGTCTCTGACTCCTCACCCCCAGGAAGCCGAGGTACTAATCCTGGTGGATAGGGAGGGGCACGGAGAGTAAGTCAGAGACACATGCTCTTTCTGTCACCACAGCTAACCAGCTCATTCTTGATTCTGGGAATTATCTTTCCAAGTAACTGAACAATAGAAAGGCATCTCAGATGAGTCACCTTTAAAACCTTCAGCTAAAGTGCCAATTGGGAATGACTGTGTGTAGAACCCCAGGCTAGAGGAAAGTAGCACATCACTGTAAGGACAGAATTTACCTTGTGCTTTTCTTCCGTCTTTCTTCTCTCCCTTTCTTCCTTCTAGAACACAACTTTTCTTAGTCGGGCATTGGTCTTCTACACCTGGGCTGCACAGGATGGCCAGAGAAGACCTGTCTTCAAAATGACTGTCATGGACCCAAGAAGTGGGGTGCAGAGAATGAGCCCACTATCCTCTGTCACGCAAGTCTGGGCTTCAGGATCTCCCTCACCATTCTTCCATCCCGTCCTTCAGACACCATAGATTTTGTGGCCCCTCTTAAAAGCTCATCTGTGTGCTTATAATCCCACTAGCCTTGCTCTCCTTGCCTAAATTCTCTTGGTGTAAAGTTGGAGAAAGCAGCCTAGTACCTGGGCCCTTCCCATGGCTCAGACCTTGAAACTGATGTCAATGCTTTGTTCTTCGTAAACAATGGCTTTTTATAGAGGGGGAAAGTTGGCAGGCACCATTCAGCAGTTGGGGTGTAACTGAGTCAAAGGTTCCTGTCCCAGCGCTGAAGGTTGTTTCCAAAGTAAGGATGTGCAAGCCATTCAGGCTTTGTGGAGATTCATAGATATGGGGGCTGGTGGGAGGAGGAGGGGAGAAGGAAAAACAGGGAGGAGGAGGGAGGGAAACTGGTCAAATTTGCCTAGAGAATCACTTCACCCTTCACTTTAAAACAGTGGGGCTCTGGGTGAGAGGGCACCAGGATCTGAGTTCTGCTCTGCCACTGACTGTGTAGCCAGAGAACTACCTAAGCCTCAATTTACAAATCTATTGGGGGAAAAAAAAAAAACTGCCTCAAACCCCTCCCCAGTGGGCAGAATGCAAAAACAGCACTGGGGCCCTCCCTGGTACAAGGGGTTAAAACAGCACTAGGAAGCTAACCACAGCCCCTTCAGCTCAAGTTCAATCCAGGGGCCAGGGAGGTGATCCACTTGGTGCAGCAGACCTCTCCTGATCTGCCACTGCTCACCTCAGCAGTGTACTTCATCAATCTGCTCCCCACTCTATCTCTGGTGAATCCTCTTACCACCCCCTGCACCTCTAGCCTGTACCCCAGTTCTTTATGCACAAATAAATGTCTTAAAAATGAAACAAAAATAAAACAGCACAGAGATGCTTTGTAAATGCTGTACAGTATAAGGAGCTATCCCTTTATTTTAGGAGTAACTTTCCACAATTTCAGTTACCACAATCAACCACAAGTCAAAAATTATTACACTCAGTAAGATATGAGACAATGTTCACATAATCACAAGACTGGTGTCAGAAGAGATTATCATAACTGTTCTATTTTTGTGACGAAACGAAGACTGAGCAATTGCCACTCAGCAATTGGCCTTGAGCAGCAGGTGACCTCTTCATGTAGAACCTAGGAGAAGGAGACTCAGAACCGAATCTCTTCTCCCATCACCCTCCTTGTTACAAAATCTCTTGAACTGTTATGTTAGCAGAGCTTTGCTGAGTGAGATTGTTTTGCTTTTCTGCTACTCCACAGTAATCCCCATACCCTGATAATGTTAAGCCCCTCTGGCTAGGCCCTCTGTCAGGGTCTCTGACTCACCATAACATTCCTGGTGCCAGCTCCTGGAACTGGCTGGAAACTAGACCCTGATATCAGCTCCTGTCTCACGACTGAGACATCTGACTTGGAAACCTGTCCTTGGGTGTCTTGCCAACCTGTCCTTGAGTGCTGTGAAGTTTGTTACTCTTTGAATTTGCACCAGCTATGACGTATGTAACGGCCGACAGGGCTTATATATTCTCTAGCATTCCTATGGTCGGGGTCTTGCTCTCCTTGTGTGGCCTGCGTGCCTGCAGGAAAGCTTGACCCCAGATAGCTGGCTCAATAAACTCCGCTTGCTTGTGCATCTCTGGTCCTGTCCTTTGTCGCAGGAGGCAACCCAGTGATTTCAGACCCTAACAGTAACAGAGGTCCGTTTGACAGAAGCTGAGGAAAACCCCACCCTCACACCTACCCACCAGCCACAGTGGCCAGAGGCCCTAAGTCTGTGACAAACTGGAAACAAACAATGGGAAGAAAGAAAATTACAAATGGTTAAGTAAGCCCCCCTGAGAACACCTCACCACAGAGAAAAAGTGAGCCTCCAGAACCCAGCACCATGGACACTGGTGCTGGTGTTTCTCTTCCTGACAGATAAAGAATTCAGAATTGCCATGATTAAAAAACTTAAAAGTACAGGAGAAGACACAGAAACAGAGAAAATGGCATGAAAATTACTGCATCTTGAGTAAGTAAGAAAAATTGTGTTTTTATTATCTTATCATATACTGTGCCTAACTTATGAATTGAAGTTCACCGTTGCTATGGATTAATGTAGAAAATCATAGAATATACAGAGTCCACCCAGCTGTGCTTTCAGGCATCCAAGGCGAATTTCAAAATGTGTCTTCAGTGGACAAGGAGGAGCCAGTTACTCTGCAGAATTCACCATCTCCTTCCTGACAAATAGTTTGAGGATTTTGCCCTATTCATGACTGTTAACCCAAGGCTCAGGAGAGTTTGTCTAAGCTCTTCTATCACCACTCCAGGGCAGGAATTTCGAAGTGTTCCAGTCATGCAGCCCCCATGACCTGTTACTACATTTATTAGAATAAGGAAGTATGTGTTCAGGCCAGATTTGGAAAACTGGGGGCCTCTGAAGTCCTGGTGGGCTGACCGTAGCCTGTGCACCTCTGCCTGGGGTCGCCGGGTCTGTGAGGCACAGCCTGGTAAGGACACCTGACATACTAACGTGGCATTCAGGCCTTACTTTCCTGTTCATAAAAAGGTAACCAGGCCAGAGCAGAATAGCCAAGTACGTGCCTCAAGACCTAGTCTGGAGGAATGCATGGCTGCAAGACCCCCTTGAGTGACAGATTTCATCAAATACATCAGAGAGCTGATTGGTGTTACATGGTCCAATCAGGCTTAATGGATGGGAGACCCTGAAAGAGGATGTAAGGATGGGCTGAGCCAGCTTAGGAATTCTGTTCTTGGCCACTAAAGAAAGAAGGATCAGCAAGTGAACTCCAGAGAAAGAGGAGATGCCCAAGAGGCCTGGCTTCACCTGAAAGAAGCTCCATAGGCCTGGGCCTGGTGTCTCAAAGATGTGTTTGTTGGTGGTATAGGCCGACAACTCACAAGAATTGTTAACACTCGGCCCTCCCTGGTGGCGCAGCGGGTTAAAGCACTGCACTAAGAAGCTTAAGCCACTTCCGCATGAGTTCGATCCCCCCTGCCTCGAGGAGATTCACATGGCGCAGCAGACCTCTCCTGACCCCGCCCGCTGCTCCCTTCAGCAGTGTACTTTGTCAATCTGCGTGTTCTGCTCCCCACTCTGTCTCTGGTGAATCCTCTCACCGCCCCCTGAACCTCTGGCCTGTACTCCAGTTCTGTATGTATAAATAAATATATCTTAAAAAAAAAAAAGAGTTGTTAACACTCATGTTGATGACATCACCTCCTAGTGACCAGTGGTGACCAGCACAACTGGTCAGTGGTCTCCAGGACTACTGTTTCTGGGTCACCCATGAGATCTGTCCACTGCATTGCCTCCTAATGCTGTCATCTCACTGCTGCCTGCTCCAGCTTCCAGGGCTGTCCAGCCCAACCTTCTGATCATTGCTGGGGCTTTTGCGGTGTCATCTGAGCAACCCCAGCTGTGAGCACCTCCAACTGCCACTGGGAACTGGACCCCAGCCCACTGCTTGCCAATGTGCCACAAAGCTCCAGGACCTCATTGGTGGGACAGCACTATCTTAAATGAGTCACCACCTGTTTGGGACTTCTGGGCACCGTGGACACTATCCAGGGAGAGATAGCTGGCAGCTTATGGCCTGAGAAACTCTGTTTCCCCTATCTGTTCAATAACCTCCACGGTTGTTCCCTGTGCCCGAGTGGTCTTGCAGTTTTGTATATGGCTGGGAAGGCATAGGTGGTTACCTGTCCTCTACCTTGGCACTGTCTTTGACCTGACAAAGAGCACTGTTTCAGAATGTCTTAACCTGTGACCTCAGAGTAGTTTTTACAATACTTAATTATTGAACAAAAGTCAAAAGAAGAACAAAATTTTGTGATGCATGAGAAGCATATGAAATTCAAGTCTCAGCGTCTATAACAATCATGCCCATTTCATTCCATATTGTCTGCTTTTGGGCTACAACAGTGGCGATGAGAATTAACCCTCCAGAACTAAGGGTTAATCCCTGCTTCTTTATAGGGAAAGATTGCTGAGCCTGCTCTTAATTGCCTTCCCGTACAGTCTTTTTTAAAAAGATTTATTCATTTATTTATTTAGGCATACAGAACTGGGTACAGGCCAGAGGTGCAGGGGCAGTGAGAGGACTCACCAGAGACGGAGTGGGGAGCAGGACAGGCAGACTGATGAAGTACACTGCTGAGGGGAGCAGTGGGTGAGACAGGAGAGGTCTGCAGTGCCATGTGGTCACCTCCGGAACTGGGGATCAGACTCCAGAAGAGATCTGCTGCGTTCTGTGGGTCACCTCACAGTGCTGCACTTTAACCTATTGTGCCACCACAGAGGGCCCATCCTGCACAAACATTCTAAGAACCCCCTGTAGCCCTGGGTCAAAGAACTATAGATGAGCATAGAAAGTGTGATGAGGGGCAGGATAACTCTCTTCAGCTCAAAGGAAATAAAAGACTAGGGTACTGGATCTTCCTAACACCTTCAGTTGACAGATCCTTCCCCAGCACTCTGATGCCAGCACGCCCTCCCCTGACCAGAACCAACAAATATACGCTGCAATAACTGGCCAGCAGCCTGGCCTGCTGCTGCTGCAACCACAGGGACTAAGCTTGAGTCCTTTGCTCCTGGAAAACCGTAGTCATTCCCTTGAGCCCTACACAGAGGTCCACATCACACTCTTTCCCCCTTTGAGGTCTGGAGCATCCCGAAACATCCCTAACCACTGTGGGAAGAAGAGACCAAGAGGTATTATGAGTGTTAGGTAAAAGATTGCTGGGGCGGAGGACGAGGACGAGGCGGAAGCACGAGGAGACTAGAGAGACCGAGCCTGCAGGCAGCCGCAGCCTGAGACAAAAAAAAAAAAGGAATCATCTTTGCATGTGGTAAAATACACATGCAGGAAAGTGGGCCGCATGATGTTCCCAGGGCAGGCTGGCACAGAGGCCTGAGCTCACTGAGGCCACCTTGGGGATTAAGAGTGACTCATTCTGTCTAAGGAGGGAATGACGCAATATGGAATTCCAAGCACACCTGGGCTTGAGTCTCAGATCTGGCTGATCTTACTGCAGCACCATTCCTGGGAAGTGAGGGCAAGGAGAGAACTCAAGGACCTTGGCACATCATCAGCAAGCCTGCTGGTTGTGAGTACGAGCTCATATCCCAACGATGGGCTCAACATGTAATTAAGCCACCTACAAACTCCCTGTGCCACCACTTCCTCACCTGTAAAATAGTCTTTAAAGGGCCACAAGATGGCAGTATCTGGGAGATTTTTAACAAAAAATGCAGAATTCCAAGCCCTCCTCCAGAGGGTTAAGTTAGACCAGAATGTGTATTTTACCACATGCAAAGATGATTCCTATG